CTTCTCTCTCTCTCTCTCTCTCTCTCTCTCTCTCTCTCTCTCTCTCTCTCTCTCGATATCACATTTCCTAAATAACAACATTCTAAAATTATTCTACAATACACAATTAATATATATGAAAGGGAAGTGCTACAACTTAAGAACAGAGAGAGAACTTAGGGTGATTAGGGCAGGGGGAGATATGTAGAAAGGAAAGTTTGGATAAAAATGGTAGATTTGGAGAAGAGTTAGAATAATAGATAGATATCCAATTCTCTCACACCTCCTGCCTTCTCTATCAATAAAATTCCCTTTCCTATACCATAAAATTCACTTCCGAAAATCTCTCCCATAAAATTTATGATCTGTCCTTGCCTTCTCTGTCAACTGCATCTTCCTCCCCATAGCATGCAGTAATTTTTAGGAACCAACTAATCAAAAGAGAATCCAATATTCCAATGCCCCAAATTCATAAAATAAAATTCCTTCAAATCTCCTTCTTTCTCTATCCATAAAATTCCCTTCTCTATTCATAAAATATCCTTCCAATAATCTCTCCCATAAAATTCGTAAGCTTTCCTTTCCTTCTCCATCCACACATCTATCTCCCCTTCACAAGCAATTATTTTTAGGAAGTAACGCATCAAAAGAGAATCCAATGCACTAATATTGTTTTGTTTAAAGGCCATTTGCCCTACATCCTCTCTATGGATGGGGTCTCTCTTTATTTTTGTGACACATGTCCACCCCATAATTGTAGCTTAAAAACACAATAAAACAATATAGATGGTCAATCATAAAAGATTATTAATGGGGCCAGCTTGAGATATAAAAATGGAGCCAGAGATATTCTTTGTATATTTTGTAAAATTTAATAAACAATTTACATATTTTGTAGACCAGGAAATAAGTAATATTATAGAGGCAGTTATCAAAATAATACTAATAATAACACTAAATTATAGGGGATTTCTAATCATACTTTATGATCATATTTTTGTTATAACATCCATTTACATGGGCATATCGGGTCAGGATGAGCTTTAGTATTTCACTAACGTCTTGGGTAGGACTAGCAAGAGAAAAAGGTCAAAAAGGTAAAAGAAAGAAGAAAAGGTGTAAATAGCAACTTTATTATGGAAGAATTTGGCAAAAGTAGATAGGCGCGAAAGTTGTCATATCCTACTTTACAGAAATATTCAAAAGAGACAAAACAAAGTAACAACTTATCACTAAGAACAAACACCGAAAACACATATCTTCTATGGACCAAAAAAGTACAATCCCCCAAACTCAGGCAGGTTGCATGTACCCAGATGAGTTGACAGTATAAAAGAGTTGAGCTCAGAACCCCGATGAATATTGCCAGAGTAAATGGCTAAGTTCATCCTTCGACTTAGCCTGTTTGGTCAACCCAGGGGAGTTCTGGTCAAAGTGGTGAGTTTTTTTACCTATGTTACAAAGACATCGACACGTGTGTCATCATACGACACAAGTAGAAATATGGAGGTGTATACAGAAGTAAGGTGCACCTCAAAAATATTTATAGAGTGTTGCTACATTCGAAAACCCTCCAATTGATCATCTCGACCTCGAGTTATATAGACAAGAAGAACAAAGTAATTTCAGCTCCAAAAATACTGCATCTTGTGACAAGTTATCTTGGACTATCTATTTTCAAGAATTTTCAAGTGTTTATATATCTTCTCCAT